TAAGTCGTGTCCGACTCTTCGTGACCCCATGGACCAGAGCATACTTCATACTTAGAATTCAAAGTCCCTGGTGGAGAAGGTTGAGGATTTCTTTCCTCATAGAAGGTAGCCTGAAAATTTAGCTCTCTATAGCTATTAGTTTTCCAATTCATTTTTCTTTCCACATTAATCAAAAACTTCCCACTCATCTCTGAAATGCTGCTAAAATACTAAGTCATCTTGATCTAATACAATGTAAAAAGACATCTTCAACTTGAGGTCTCCATCAAAGCCTATATGGATTTGATGAAGCCTATTTTGGGATGTGGTTGAAAAGCATGAAGTAAACATCATGACCATTTCCACCTCACTCCCAAAATTAGCTGAAAGTGCTGCCCTATTTTTACACCAAAAGAATGGGCTCGTAAAGGTACGAGGAAACTAGGGATGTGTCTTTCTGAATTTCTGGACTGGAAATTCTGTAATTCACCATTCTGTTGGTAGTTCATTCTGGGAGCACCACCTGACAGACAAACATCTTTTTTTGTTGTTGTTTAGTCGTTAAGTCGTGTCCAACTCTTCGTGACCCCATGGACCAGAGCACACCAGGCCCTCCTGTCTTCCACTGCCTGCAGGAGTTGGGTCAAATTCATGTTGGTACCTTTAGTGACACTGTCCAACCATCTCGTTCTCTGTCGTCCCCTTCTCCTCTTGCCTTCACACTTTCCCAACATCAGGGTCGTTTCCAGGGAGTCTTCTCTTCTCATGAAATGGACAAGTATTGGGGCCTCAGCTTCAGGATCTGTCTTTCCAGTGAGCACTCAGGGCTGATTTCCCTTAGAATTGATAGATTTGATCCCCTTGCAGTCCAGGGGACTCTCAAGAGTTTCCTCCAGCACCACAATTCAAAAGTATCAATCCTTTGGACAGGTGGTGTAAATCTTCATAGAATTGGTCAATTTCAGCCTCTTCAGGATTGGTAGTTGGTGCCTAAACTTGGATTACTGTGATGTTGAAAGGTCTGCCTTAGATTCGTATTGAAATCATTGTATCATCTTTGAGATTGTATCTCAGTACAGCTTTTCCCACTCTTTTGTTGACTATGAGCGCTACTACATTTCTTCAATGGGACTCTTGCTCACAATAGTAGATATGATAATTGTCTGAATTGAATTTGCTCATTCCTGTCCATTGTAGTTCACTGATGCCCAGGATGTCGATGTTTATTCTTGCCATCTCTTGTTTGACCACATCCAGCTGACCAAGATTCCAAGATCTTACATTCCAGGATCCTATGCGCTATTGTTCTTTCCAGCAATTGACTTTCCTTTCATTTCTGTACGTCTACAGCTGAGCATCCTTTCAGCTTTGGCCCAACCACTTCATTAGCTCTGGAGCTGCTTGTACTTGTTCTCCGGTCTTCCTCAGTAGCATTTTGGACACTTTCTGACCTGATGGGCTCATCTTCCAGCGTCATATCTTTTGTTTCTGTCCATGAGGCTTTCTTGGTAAAGATACTGGAGTGGCTTGCCAGTTCCTGCTCCAGGTGGATCACGTTTAGTCAGAACTCTCCACTATGACCTGTCCATCTTGGGTGGCCCTGCACGGCATAGCCCATAGCTTCTCTGAATTACTCAAGCCCGTTTACCACGACAAGGCAGCAATCCGTTAAGGGGTTCAAAAGTGGTACACTTGTGGAAAATGATGTGAACACATATCAGCTGCTAAAGTGCCAGTTTTAAGAATTCAGATGAGTAACACATTTAAAAACAGGGTTGTTCTAAAACTATCTCAGCTACTGCATGTTAGCAGCCTGTGTACTGTAACACAACATTACCCTTCTTCTTTGAAAATGTGTTAATTTATAAATAGCTTAGTAATTTTTGGGTTTTCACTTTTACAAAGTAGTGAACAGACCAGTACATATGAGTCTAACAACCACAAGAGCAATCATATGGAATAAAGTAGCTTTGAATTCACAAACCACTTTAAATTTAGGAGAAGTCATCTTTAGACATTAGGGACCAAAATACAGTTGGAGAAATTGAGGGTTGTTTTATACATGGAAGTAAGCTGAGGAGAAAAAAACAAGTGGAGGGGAAAGCAGGGATCAAAGTGGTCCTGCAGGACTTTGATCCTGCTTTGCCCCCCACTTGCTTAGCCTTGGCAAAAGGAAAGCAGGGATCAAAGCACTGCAGGACAGCTTTGATCCCTGCTTTCCCCTTTGCTTACTAAGTCGCATGGGGCTTATCAAAAGGAGGGGGGAATGGGATCAAAGTGATCCTGCAGTGCCCATGGCTGTGTGGAAAGGAATCAAAATAATTGTGCAGTCATGGAATTGCTTTGATCCCTTTCCCCCTCCTTTTGCTAAGCCACACGGGGCTTAGCACAAAGAGAGAAAGCAGGGATCAAAGCCATCCTGCAGCATTTTGAGCCTTTTTACCCTACATTTGCTAAGCCTCACTTAGATTTCTTAATTTTAGGTTAGAAAAGTGGGGGGGGGCGTCTTATGCATGGTGGTGCCTTATACACGGAAAAATATGGTAATTATGAAAGTGTCACCTCACAGTATTCAACCAGATGTTTTCCTGATGTTTTGGACATGCCCTTTTAGGTTGACTGTGGTAGGTGAGAGTTGTAATCCATTACATTTAGAAGACTCTGATTGCCTGCTCCTATGTATATTTGCCTAGAAAGTTTCTACATAACCAGGCAGTCTTTTTTAAATATGGCAGTCTGGGATATTTTTCTCATGATGTTCAGATATAGGCAAAACAAATTGGACAAGAAAGGGACGTGGTGGCAATGCAGGTTAAACCGCAGAAGCCTCTGTGCTGCAAGGTCAGAAGACCAGCGATCATAAGATCAAATCCACACAACAGAGTGAGCTCCTGTCGCTTGGCCCAGCTCCTGCCAACCTCGCAGCTCGAAAGCATGCAAATGTGAGTAGATAAATAGGTACCACCACAGTGGGAAGGTAACGGTGTTCCGTGTCTAGTCATGCTGGCCACGTGACCACGGAAACTGTCTACAGACAAATGCTGGCTCTATGGCTTGGAAATGGGGATGAGCACCGCCCCCTAGAGTCAGACACGACTGGACTAAATTTCAAGGGGAACCTATACCTTTACCTTAATTGGACAAGGCCCTTTGTTCACTTTGGTTTATGCAAATTTTGCTCAATGAGTAAGATAAACTTTATCTCTGGGAACTTTATCTCACTATTTTTTTTCTTTCAGTATATGCAGATATATTGTTCTGGTTTATTGCTCCTATATCCCTTCTAGGAAGGCTGAAAATCTTGTATGCATTTCTTCCCCACTGATATATTTCACGCTTATTGATGGATGAAAATAGAAAATGGGATGTCATGGGCACAGCGCCTGTAGATCTTTAGGAGAAGAACTAACTAGGCTACTGCTAAGACTGAAAGCAGCCAGCGTCTCAGCAGGGGAGCTCGGAAGAGGGAAGGAATTAGGCAATGGCCATGTTGTGCCTGGTGAGAAAATCACTGCTAGGCCCTGTGTGAGCTTTCTTTCATGTATTCTTTGTATCCAGATTTTATAGCACATGGTCTTTCATGGATTAATTTTCTGTCCTGTGTTTTGTACCAAAGGCCACCCAAGACTGAGAGGAAGCTTTTTCTTAAGGAAGACAAATGCACCTTCTCCATTTGTTTGGAAAGCTTGGGATACTATTTTAAATGCTGAAGTGATGGGCAGCATATATCTTCTCAGAAACCAAAAAGCTAGATGCTGAGCTGCTATGAATTTTTTTTTCTCTTGTGATTTGAAATCTTTTCCCATGCCAAGAGATTTGGCTGCAGTTTATATTCCTTGTTACTGAATCGGGTTTATAGTACATGGTTTAGTTCTTTGGGGTGCTACTATACTAGGACTTGCTGTGGCTGTTTCACTGTCTTGTGACAGGGCATTCTTTTAAAGGACAGGGATGTGAGAAGTGAGGTATTTGGGAAGTGAAGTTCTGCAACTATGCATATGTTTTGTTTGTAGCCCTGATACTCCATGCTGTTTCATACTCCCATTTAACTCACTAAAAAGCTTTTCTAGTTATATTTTTAGTGAAAAGGATCTATAGTGCTATAACACTACAATGCAGCAAATGTTATTTGCTGACTGCCATTTACCATATTGCTGAAATAAAAGTGACTGGAAAGTTCCTAAAACATACTTCTTAATTATCTTTTTGTTGTTGTTGTTGTTTTGTTAAATGGGATGGGGTATCTTTTTATATTTTATTTTGACAGTAACTTTTTAGCCTGGAAAAAAGACAATGAAAAGGGTCATCATAAAGATATATTAAAAGATGTATGATAGAGAAAATAGATAGAGAATTCTCCATCTGTAGCGCTAAACCTCAGAATCACCCAATGAATTGGGGCAGAAGTGTTCTTCACACAACCCATAATTCGGTGCCACAGGTAGAATGGATTACAGGACTTGCTGCTTCTTTCAGGGCTATTAACCATGGCAGCTACGTAGAATGAAGATTCAGCCACTGAATATTGGAAACTATTGCCAGTGTGGTCGGAGAAAGATTTCTCAGAAACTTGATGCTGGAAGTCTAAACCAATAGGGTGATTTTTATGATATTGTGCTAGCCCTATATTGGGTTAATATTACACTGAAGTATTATATGCTATGTAACGGCTTATTAAATATGAATCAAAGTAGCAGTTAAATGGCTTTTGTCTTGTGTTTGCAGAGCCAGTACTATGAATAAAACTGGGAGCAGCTTCTTTTTATTATTTTTTTTCTGGATAGAATTGTGGTAGGAATAATAATGATCTCATTCATAAAATAACTATCAATGATGGTTGGAGTTTTTCAAACTATCTTGTACCACAGTGAAAGGTAGCAATCATTACCCTTGCACCTTGACAGAATTCAAGCATTTATTTAGCATTCTGCATTTTAAATCTTCCACAGTTGTCACCTGCCTTTATTTTTTTAAGGTTATGGCTGTTTATGCCACTTTTCTGTAATTATTATTATCTTTAGACGCAGGGTGTTGGCTATATCTGATGGAATTGAACACATTGGAAATCTCCGCTGGGAGCTTGCGCTGTGTCTCTTGGCTGCCTGGACTATCTGCTATTTCTGCATTTGGAAAGGAACAAAGTCAACTGGAAAGGTAAAAGCAATGTTTCTAAAAATTGCACATGGCTGCATTATCTTTAAAATGAATGTATGGATGTATGAGCAGTAACTGTCAACGTGACATCATAGTAACATGTACACTCATGCTCATACACAAAAACATATATTTTACAAGTTTAGAACAACTATTTATGGCTCTAAGGATTCTTTTCTTTCTTTCTTTTGGAACCTCTGTTACAAAATAATTTAGTTTTTGTAAATTTTTTGGTATCTCCAGGTACATTAAACATTAATTAACAAATGGCAATGATAGTTTTTTTTTTTCATAAGGGATATATTTCAGTTTTATTGTATTGCTCTCAAAGTAGTTAAAAATCTTTTTTTAAAAAATTAAATGTAGAATAGCTCAGTGGTTTAGGTATCTAGCTGCAGAGCCATAGAATGGGAGTTTAGTTCTCTACTGTTTCTCCTTGACAGGGGCTGAACTCAATGAACCATAGGTAGCCTTTCAGGTTAGGATTTCTAATATTAACAATAACAACAATTTAATAGTTAAAATACTTTTTGCTAAAAAAGCTTTGTGTGTTGCTAGTTAAAACTGTCATGTAGCCTCTTTAAAATAAAATATTCAAAATGTGTTATAGGTCAAAGGTTTCATTATGAGATGGGTCTTATAAATTCTAATTCTATATTATGAGACAATGGCTTAAATCCTATTTTTTAGCATGTCACAACTAGAGTAGGCCCAATGGGACATATGGAGCTGGGAACTCACAAAATCTCCACTGATTCAATGGGCCTACTCTAGTGTGACTTACTACACTGAGCAAAAGGATTTCAGCCATTTGGTGCAATAGGCCCTAGATTGAAGCATTAATTTTGGTATGTTATTCCTGGACCTTTCCTCATTTCTTCAGGTAATAGAATGTTTGAAGTTCTTGGAAGTCCTATTAAAATCTGCACAATTCCTTTCAAAGGTTTCCTTGAGTAATGCTGATTGTTTCAGACTAGTAACCTTGGCTACAGTTTGTCCACATCTTTATGTTGAGATATTATTGTTGAGTTGGTTTGCAATATACCTAATAAAATTTAATAATCCTCCTTCCCTTTGTGATAAATAACATAAATGGTTTATTAATCCTTGATCTTTTATTACTACTGCAAAATGTATCAATCATTTTCTGTGATACTTTTAACTCCTTATCACTAACTTTTATGGGTAACCTCCAAAATAATAATAATAAAAGAATAATGTTCATTTTACATAATGCTATTTCCCCAAACCATGATATCTTCAACTTTTGATATTCTTTTAATTGTTCCTTAATTTGTTTTTTTTACTTTATCAAAATTTAATTTTATAATATCTCTTAAGTCCCAGATATTTATCCCTAAATATTTAATATTATTATTAAACTACTCAGAAATTTATCTTTCATTTTTCTTTTTTCCTCAATATCATAATTTGTTACCATAAATTTAGATTTACTCCAATTTACATGCAACCCTATTATTTCTTCAGTATATTAATTTTCTGTTGAATTTATTGGCTCTTCAATTGTAAGTAGCACATCATCCACAAACAAACTTTAATTTTTTTCTTTATATTTCTTTTTCCCCCTATTCCTTTTATTTCTTTATAAGAGGAAGTTAGACTGTGACGATGTAGCTAGTAGCTATACAGTTTTCAGTAACAATTGTGTTGAAAATATTTACAATAAGAATTTTGAACATTCTCACTACATTTGGTAGTAGGGGTGTACATCTTATCCTTGAAAATGATAACAAGGAAATGTATAATTAGTTTCCTCACCCAGAACTGGATGTGGCATATGTTGTCCAAGAAAAGAGTAGTAGTAGGAGTTTTTTTGTTAATCATTCTAAGAACATTAAATTGTGCAAAATACCTTTTTAATGTAATTAATACTATAATACAAATATTGTACAAAATAACAATGGTTATCACATGTGTATGTTTCCTTTTGGCAAGACAAAGGACTGTAGTTGTGCAGACAGTTTACCTGACTTACGGAGAAGGAAAAAATAGAATTCCTTGTCTTGATCTCAGCTGGAGTTAATGAAACTTGTGAGGTTTGCAAATTCTTCATCAAGCTGTGCCACAGACACCAAAATTCACAAGGCCAAGAATGTATTGAGTATTCGTTATATTCCTGTTTGACAAAAAAAGAGAGATTTATTTTTTTAAAAAAATTCAAAGTTAAATTTGTAGGACTAAGATTCAGGAGTCTTGCCCATGTCTTTATTAAAGGCTGTGGAGAGTGTGCCATGACTTGTGTCTCATTGTACAGTCATATCTGTTGTAAATGTCAACTGTCTCATATTTCATTTAAAGCTCAGGGAAATATATCATAATTTACTATTTATTTACTTATTTTTTTTCTCTGAGACCTTTCTTCCAGAAGTGGGAGCCAATGCAGCTGGAATAACTCCCATAAGGCATATTACGAGAAGGCAGTGTAGACAGCTAATGCGGCTAACTATTGAGGAAGATACATGTGATAGAAAAACAGAGAAACCAAAAACGAATGTAGCAGTTTCAGTCACCTTTCAATATTTCAGTAAGCTCAAAAGCAGAAACAAATTCTAAAAGGTCCTGAGGATGAGTCATGAAAATGGAAGCTTCTTTGATCAAGAAAGGTAGTGCTTTTTTTAAATTTGAGAACAAATTATGATATAACTAAAGTTCCACCTTTTTCTTGAAGCTGCATGTAATGCTGTCTTCCCTTATAATTTCTGCAAGAGAAGATCTCTCTTATAAGCATGTGTAGTAAAGAGAAGCTGGCCAAAATCCTACTGGTGATTTATGTTTTTGAAGGAAAACTGTGCAAGGCTTGGCAGAAAATATGCTGCTTGTAAAAGGTTACTGGTTGTCTCTGTGACTAAATACAGTGGACCCTTGACTTCTGGAATTAATCCATATTGGAACAGTGGCTGCAGGTCGAAAAGTCTGTAGGTCGAGGCTCCATTGACCTACAATGCATTGAAAACCGATTAATCCGTAACCATCCGTTTTTGTTCCATTTTGGTTTTTTCCCCGGTCTGTAGGTTGATTCTCCAGCTGCAAGGCGAACCTAAATTTTGTGGCCAGAGAAGTCTGTAACTCGAAAAGTCTATAAGTGGAGCCGTCTGTAAGTCTAGGGTCCACTGTACAGGAAAGTAATCAGAATCTCATTAAAGAGTAACAATTTGCTGCCAAGACTTACACGTCGTTGTTGTTTAGTTGTTTAGTTGTGTCCGACTCTTCATTACCTCATGGACCAGAGCACACCAGGCCCTCTTATCTTCCACTGCCTCCTGGATGACACTGTCCCACCATCTCTTCCTCTGTCATCCCCTTCTCCTCTTGCCTTCACACTTTCCCAACATCAGGGGCTTTTCCAGGGAGTCTTCTCATGAGATGGGCAAAGGATTGCAGCCTCACCTTCAGGATCTGTCCTTCCAGTGAACACTCAGGGTTCATTTCCTTTAGAATGGATAGGTTTGTTCTCCTTGCAGTCCAGGGGACTCTCAAGAGCCTCCTCCAGCACCACAATTCAAAGGCATCAATTCTTCGGCAGTCTGCTTTCTTTATGGTCCAGCTCTCACTTCCATACATCACGACAGGAAAAACCATAGCTTTGAGTATTCGGACTTTTGTTGGCAAGGTGATGTCTCTGCTTTTTAAGATGCTGTCTAGGTTTGTCATCGCTTTCCTCACAAGAAGCAGGCGTCTTAATTTCATGGCTGCTGTCTCCATCTGCAGTGATCATGGAGCCCAAGAAAGTAAAATTTGTCACTGCCTCCATATCTTCCCCTTCTATTTCCCAGGAGGTGATGGGACCAGTGGCCATGATCTTAGTTTTTTTGATGTTGGGCTTCAAACCGTTTTTTGCACTCTTCTCTTTCACCCTCATTACAAAGTTCTTTAATTCCTCCTCACTTTCTGCCATCAGAGTGGTATCATCTGCATATCGGAGGTTGTTGATATTTCTTCCGGCAATCTTAATTCTGGCTTGTAATTGATATTTCTTCCGGCAGTCTTAATTCTGGTTTGTAGTTCATCCATTTCTGCCTTTCCCATGATGTATTCTGTATAAATATTATATAAGCAGAGAGACAATATACAGCCTTGTTGTATTCCTTTCCCAATTTTGAACCAATCAGTTGTTCCATATCCAGTTCTGACTGTTGCTTCCTGTCCCACGTACAGTGGTGCCTCGTATTACGAGCGCACCGTATAACGACGAATCCGCATAGCGACCCCTTTTCCGGGATCGCTAATGCGGAGGCATAGAGTCGGCAC